TATTTTTTGACATTTTTTTTTTTGTGGAAAACAGCAAAACAAACTCAACTTTTTTCTCTTTTTTTTCTTGCTGAAATTAAGTCACACAACTCATAAGTAAATTTATGTACATCGAGTAAATTACAGAGACGACCGACTAATTCTAAGGATTAGCATGTCTTTTGGTAAAGGGTTTCTCTCAAACTTACCACGGGTTAAAACATCTGAATCGGATGTCAAGTGACTAAGTGATCGAACATGGAAATGTATTGGTAAACTAACTTTTTTGTAATTAAAAACAGTATCTCTTCATTTTTTGTCAAGAAAAACTTCCTTTGTTGAGAATCCATAAAGCAATTCTTCGACAGGACAGAAAATATTAAGTTTAGGACCTTTGGGTCTTCACATGCGTTTTCGGATTGTGCTTTTTTCTAAATGATGGCATCTTTTTGTAAGTGCAACAATTTTTCAGGTTTAATGGCATCATTCCTAACTAAAAGCCTACACTAATCTCTCTAATAAAACGCATAGAAATTTCGGTCTTTTTATCATTTAGATATCTACAAATGGCCATATGGAATAGTGAGATATTTTCATGTTTGAAATGATTTAACAAAACAAATCATCAACAAACAAGAACTTGTCCACCATCGCTTCGTTTTCAATGGAATTTTTTCTTTTTATAAAAGGGAGTTAAATGCTAGGAATATAACACCATTTTAAAACGATCATTAACAATTCAAAGTGCGGTGCCAAATTGCAAATTGAAAAATGCAACGAATAAGCCTCTTCAATATAAAATTTACGACAATATTGTAGTTGTAGGACACACCAAAGAGTTGTAAGAAGTAAGAACTATGCATGTTGTCTAGTAAGATTTTTTCTATGCAAGTTGTTATTTGTCTCCATATGAATTTTGGTTTTTCTTGATTCAACATTTCATAATGAAATATTAATTTTTATTTTGTCAACCGCACGATTATATTTGTCAGACTCATATGAAGTATGTTTTATTGGTTTAGTTGAAATATGAAGTTGTGGTTATAGAATACAAAAAAGTCTAAAATGCGTTTAAAAAAAAGCTTAGACTTTAAACAGATATATATACATCATACACGGGTGTGCAAATTATGAAGGGAAAACAAAAAAAATGATGGTTCATATAAAAGAGCGTAAAATTGTTTCCCTTTTGCCAAACCTAATTTACATGCCAAAAACTTGGACGATAAAAGTAGTACTGTATTATGATTTGGTTGTGATTTTTAAATAAAAGTTTCATCATAGTTTTGTCCAAATTAAAAAAATTACAACGAAATGTGTCTAAAGTTTGAGGGGTAATTTACAATTTTATCCGATGAAAACATAAGATAACTATTTTAACATCCAAAAACACCTTGTTTAAACTAATTCCAGATGCTTCATTTATATATATTAATTAATTTTATTGTGGCTATTGTAAAGTATTGTAAACATTCCAATAACCACAATATTATTCTGGTGAGGGGAAAAATTTGATTTTCAGAAAGACAGGAAAAAAGGTTGATTTTTCAGAAAATATATATTT